AATTTAGTAGACAACGAATTGGTATGTGGATAATGGTTCTACCAGTCACATAACCAATAGAGGGGATTTTTTCGAACATTTTGAATATTTTAAAACTTCCCACACCGTCACAGGGGCTAATGGGCAAAGTATCGAAGCTCTTGGAATTGGTACTCCGTGCTAAAGCTTATGTTGAAGGTGGACTAGAAAACATTTTACTACAGATTGTTTGGTATGTACCTCCGATTACAAGAAATCTATTTTCTGTGCTTGCTGCACAAGAAAAATGGGGGAATTTATCATACCGATGTTTGCGAGCCTTTCCCGTATTCATTTCAGGAATACAGATATTTTGTTTTATTTAAAGACAACTTTGCCAGTTATTGCTTTATCTATTTTCTGAAAGAGAAGTCAGAAGTAGCCTCAATGCTTAATAATCTGATAGCTGAAATAATGGCGTCTGGGCATAAAATAAGAGAAATTATTTCTGATAATGGGGGAGAATTTGATAACCAAAAGGTCCGGGACATTTTACGCATTAATGGCATTATTCAAAGATTAACTATGCCATATACTTCCGAACAAAATAGAGCTTGCGAAAGGGATAACAGCTTGTAGAGGCTGCACGTTCAATGATGTATGCTCATAAAGAAATACCAAAAGGACTACGATCTGAAGTCGTAAAATAACCACTGTTTACATTTTAAATCGAACAGGGCCAACGAAGATTGCAGGAGTCTCCTCATGAATTGTGGCATGGCAAAAAACCAGCTATTAAAAATCTGATAATTATAGGTTGTCTGTGCTATGTTCATATTCCTAAACAAAATAGAATGAAACTTGACAATAAAGTTCAAAAAGGAACTCAATGGTTATCGAATTTGGAATAAAACAGATCATAAACTTATTCGCTCAAGGGATGTTACTTTTCAAGAAATACCTTTGATAGATAAATCACATAACCTTCTAACTGATGACGTAAAAACTAAAGCAAAATGTAATCAGTTTGAATTGCCGTGTTTTTCTGCCTTATCTACTGTCCCAAATGATAATGAAATACTTCAAGAAGTTATTTCAAATGATGAGATTGAGGGATCTCATGAAAGGGTAACTGCAATGGAAGAAACAGGTGTTATAAATGAACAGGAACCTTGCGTACAAGAAGAAAATGAGGACAGCATAGATGAATTGTTAGAAAATGAAATTCAAATTGAATCTCAAATGACACTTAAGCAAATTTTAAACGTCCTATTCGTTTTCAGGACTATGCCTATATGTCTTTGAATGATGAAATGATGCAACTCAAAACGTATAAAGTCATTTCATGCTCTCATAGAGACAAGTGGCGTGAGAATATAGATAGCGAAAGCAATGCCTTATGGCAAATGAAACCTGGGAAATGGTAACATTACCTGAAGGTCGAAAAGCAATACCTTGTAGATATATAAGTTAAAAACCAACTCCGAAGATGAAATAGATCGCTACAAAGCTAGGTTAGTCGTTAAAGGTTATTCAAGACTTCTACGAAACGTTTAGCCCTGTTGCTAAAAGAAGCACTATTAGAACTATACTAAGCGTCGCAGCAAAAGAAAACTTGGAGATTGCCCACTTTGATGTTTCAACCGCATTTCTTTAGGGAACACTTAAAGAAGATATTTATATGAAGCCTCCCGAAGGTTATACCAGTAAGTCCAAGATGGTCTGTAAATTAAAAAAAGAGTCTTTATGGGTTAAAACAGGCGCCACCCTGTTGGAATCATTGTATTACACAATATATATTACAAATTGGTTTTAAAGAAAGTGAATCTGACCCTTGTTTGTTCGTAAGGAAGCGGGGAGGTATTAAAATTGTCATAGCTCTCTATGTAGATGATGGATTAGAGCAGAAACAAATTTAAATGAAATAGACAATTTTATGGATGACATGAGCAAAAATTTCAAAATCACGTTCAAAACTGGCATCGTATTTTCTCAGAATTGAGATCGATAGAAAAATAGATGGATCTATAAAAATTGATCAAAAGGGATTTACGAAAAGGTTACTTGAACGGTTCGGTATGCAGAAATGTAAACCAACTGCTACACCGATAACGAAGGATATTGACAATGACAAAAATTTCAACAATGAAACTAATCCAAAAGTATCATTGCCTTATCTTCAAGCCGTGCGTTCCTTACCCTATCTGATGACTGGAATTCGACCAGATATAACATAATCCTAGAGCAGAAAACGTGGCTAAGGTGAAACGCATAATGCGATATTTAAAAGGCACAACTGAGTATGGTATAATTTACAAGAGTTAGTAATTGCAATCATTTAGAGTCCTATCCTATAGTGATGCAGATCATGGAAGTGATCATAGCACTGGAGGTATTCTATGCATTTACACGTGTGCCGTGGTGCAATAGCATGAGTAGCTTTATCATCTACAGAAGCTGAACTAGTTGCTAATGAAGCAGCAAGAGAAATCATTTGGATGGATAAAATATTAAGATTTTTAGTTGATAGTTGTGAAAGTATTCCCAGACTTTATCTTGACAATGGCTATAAAGCTAGCCCATGATCCACCATTTGAAATGCACAATCGAACGAAACATATTCGTATACGACACTTCTTTGTAAGAGAATGTGTTGAGCAAAGAAATTTAGAGGTGCTGAAAACATGTGCTAAAGACCAGCTTGCTGATATATTAATAAAACCTTTATACAAGCCACGAGTTTTGGAATTAACTATAAAATGGGCATGAGGTTCTAAAAGGAAGGCGGATGTTAAGAAAATATATGAAATATTAAAAATGATGTATCTTAGCAACGACTACTTATTGTCACATTATTGTAAACTATAAAATAAAACTTGTATAATTTTTTTATTATATTGTTTAATTAAAACTAATAGCCTTTATTGCTGATTCTAAACATTTTGTTTTACATAGTATATGATTGTTTTAACTTAATTATAATCTAGCATAACGGTTTTCCAAGTTTAGTGATCAGCGTGTCCTGTGACACATAGGCCTCTTCCAGCTCATTCCACTCTTCTCTGTTGTTGGCTTTTCTAGTCCATATCGTCCCTCCAATAATCTTGATATCGTCTGTCCATCTTTTTCTTGTCTACCTCTTTTTCTTTTGCCATCACGTGGTTGCCATTCTGTTATGATTTGCGTCCATTTTATCCTGCTTTCTCTTGCCATATGGCCTGTCCATCGCCATTTTAACTGTCTAATTTTCTTAATTATGTCTTCCACCTTTGTTGTAGATCTAATATCTTCTGCTCTTTTGCGGTCTTTTAGCGTCACGCCCAACATACTTCTTTTAATTCCGCTTTGAAATGTTCTCAGTTTTAGAAGGTGTTTCTGATTCAACGCCCAGGTTTGGCATCCATATGTAAGACATGGCAAGATACAGGAGTTAAACACTTTTTTCTTGGCTGTTATAGGAAAGTATTTACTTTTGAATATTTCTTTAAGGGACCAGTATCTTTTCCAAGCGCAAGCTACTCTTCTGTCTATTTCCATGTCTGTATGATCTCTAAATGATATTAATTGCCCTAAGTATGTGTATTTTGTAACATATTCAATATCTTCATAATCTACTTTTATGTCAATTTCTTCCCTGTTTGTCATTACTTTTGTTTTCGATTTATTCATAGTAAGACCATAAAGAATATGTTGAAGTGTATTAGCGTTGTCACTTATGCCTTATGGCATTCTCTGCCAGTCAACCCTGGATGATTTGAGAGACTGTGGCAGGTGTAATAAATCACTTCATAAATAAATAATAATGATATAAAACAAAATAAAATGCAAATGAATAGAATAAATATATAGTTAGTAAAATATACATACTTACTTAATATATAATACAGGATAAATTATAAATATATAAACGGGTACTTCTATACAAAACTATAAGTAAATAAAATATTATGAGACAAAAAATAAAATAACACAATACATATTAAAATACATTATACAAAATATTACTTATAAAGTCAAAGAGAAAAAAAAAACACAAAAACAATAGTCGGATAGTCAGGTGGTATTATTCTTACGACAGAATTCTCGAACTAATCCTTTAAAATAATTCTTGTTATTAGTTTTCTTGATATCAACAGGCAAGGCATTCCAGAACAGTATAGACTGCACAGTAAAAGAGGAATTATAGAAACCACTCCTATGTGGTGGAATACGAATTTTAAGACAATTTTGGGAACGGGAAATTCTATCGTTATTGGAATACAAATATTGAAAGTTATCCTTAAGATAAGAGGGAGAATTGGGGTCATTTAAAAGTGAATGTAATACTTGCAAAGTTCGGGAGCTACGCCTTTGACGAATAGATAGCCATTTAAGCTTAGATCGGTACTGGGAAATATGGTCATACTTACGTAAGCCAAAAATGAATCTAATGCAATTGTTGAGAAGGCGCTCCAACTTATCGAGAAGATATTGAGATAGATCTGGGTAACACACATCTGCATAATCAATAATGGGTAATATCAAAGTCTGGATTAGCAAAAGTTTAGTTTTAAAAGGCAGAAAGTTTTTGAGACGACAAAGAGAACGTAAGGTGGCAGTTACTTTACGGCTTGTTTCGGCAACTTGAACTTCCCATCTTAAAGTATGGTATATATGTAAGCCAAGATTTTTGACAGACTTACAAAATGGCAACAACGTGCCATTGTAAAATACGGGAGCAAGGTTATCGTTATTAATCTTAGCTAACATTCTGCTACTGATGATATTCGCGTATATATTTTTAATTATACGTATATATTTTTTTGGCCCTCCTTGCTGGGTTTTTTTGGTGCCCTCCAAAGTGAATCATGTTTAATGGAATCAAATGCCTTACTATAATCTACAAATGCGATGTACAAGGCCGTTTACCGTATTCTTGGCATTTTTCTATTAGCTGTTTAATGACATGCATATGGTCTGTTGTTGAAAACCCCGCTCTGAAACCAGCTTGTTCTATAGGTTGCTCTTCGTCCATTATCCCTGTTATTCTGTTTAAAATCAGTTTAGAGAAAACTTTGTAAATATTCGACGAAGCTTATAGGCCTGTAGTTTTGAATTACGTTTCTATCTCCTTTTTCGTGTAATAGTATGATTGTGCTCTTCGTCCATTGAGATGGTATACATTCCGTGCTTAAAATGAAGTTATATATTTCTGTGAGTTTTCTTAGCTTTTCCGGTGACATAACTGAGGTTTTGATCATTTCATTTGTAATCTGATCTGCTCCGGGTGCCTTATTGTTCTTAAGACTGTTGACAGCTTTTTCTATTTCTGATTGTAGAAAAACTGGTATGTCTTCTAAGTCGTCATCGTCATCGAGATTTATAGTTATATCTTGGGTACTTTGTTCTGCTGCATAAAGTTTTCTAAAAAAATCAGTTGCTGTCTGTATTATAGCTCTTCTTGTCGTTTCCTGTTTTCCTGCTTTATTTTTAATATTTGGTACCCAGGTTTTTGTCTCTTTTAGTTCTTTTAAAGCTTTTTTGATTCCTCCTGTATTTTTATATGGTAGTTGAGTACGTTGGTTCTTTTTTTAATTCTGTTCTTTTTGATGCTATTACTTATTTTTTGCGTAATATTGATATCGCCATTAGATTTTGTTTGTCTTTACCTAGTTTTAGGAGCAGTTTTCTTTCTTCTATTAATCTTTCAGTTTCATTTTCGGTATGAGTAGTGTTGGATTTTGGAAATTTCTTTAACACCGGACCATATATTTCGTTTATTACATTATTATATTTTTCTTCCACTTCATTTTTTGGTTTACTTACTAAATATTGTGTTTTTGTAATGTTAATTTTTACATTAAATTTGTTTCTACTTTTTTTCGGTTCTATACTACTTATTACTGCTCTCACCATGCGGTGGTTGGTGTTAAAATTAAATTGGCTTAGAATACTTATATCTTGGAAAAAATTTCTGTTGTTAGTTGCTATGTAATCTATTTCGTTTCTGTATGACCCATCTGGAGATAACCAGGTCCACTTTTTCCTTGGATCTTTTTCGAAAAAACTGTGCATGAACGCAAGATTGTTTTCCAATGCCATTTTAATCATCATTTCTCCATTTTTACTTCTTATTCCAAAACCGAATTTTCCTACTACATGTTCTTCGCCAGTTCGTTGAGAGCCTATTCTCCCATTAAAATCTCCTATAACTAAAATGTTTTTGTGTGATTCTTGTAAAACTGATGATAGTTGGTCATAGAATAGGTCTTTAACTAATTCATCCTATTGTTCAGTGGGAGCATATACTTGAATAACTGACCACTTATGCCTATAGCCTGGCAGATGCATATTAAGTACAGCTAATCTTTCTGATATACCCTTGAATTCATCAATGTTTCTTTCTAAATGTTTTTTAACCATGAAGCCGACACCATAACTTCCTTTTGTTTCCCTTTATAGTACAGAATGTATTCCTTTCGATCTTCAATACTTTCACCTAATCTTCTTACTTCACTTAAACCTAATATGTCCCACTTTATTTTTTAGAGTGCTAGCTCTAATTCGGTGAGCCTCTCTGGTGTTCTCAGTGTTAGGCAGTTCAAATTAGAAATATACAGTTTCCTATTTTGTTGTGTTTTGGTGTTCTCGTTATTTTCTCTTATTGGAGCTGGAAGGGATTGGTCGATACCCCCCACGGGCACCAGCCGGCTTGGGGAAGGTGTGATTGTTTTGGTTGTTTTGTTAAATATTTTAAGTTCGTTTGTTCTGATCTTCCGGTTTCCGATATGTGTTAATTGCTACTCTTTATTTTTATCTGATGTTGAGTGTGATCTGTTCCTGTATATTCTTTCGAAGGCATTTATTTTATTAATTTTTAGTCGGCCGTTCCAGTCTCATTCATTGTCTTTGGTGAAGCAGATTGATCTCTCTTCCTTTTATCTCGCATCCCACCTGTTTCGCCCTTCACAACCAGTTTGTTATATTTTATAAATGCTATACGTCCCTTTCTTCGTTCTTCCTTCAGCTGAGGTATGAGTTCTCTCCTCTTTTCTAAAATATCTTTGCTGAAATCTTCATTTACGTAAATATTTTTTGGTAGCTTTTTCTTATTTCGCAAAATTTCGTTTCTCTTCCATTCATTTAGCATATTAACTAAAATCGGGCGTGCTTCTCCTTTTACCTTGTCAATTCTAAATGCTTTATTAATATCTGATTTACGAATTTCAGTATCCGAATCATTTAAAGTTTTTGATACCATTTCTGCTATGTTAATATTTTCAGTCGACTCCTTGAAGCCGTAGAATATCAAATTGTTCTCCTTTTTTCCAAGTTCCAGACGTTTTACCTTCTCATTTAATATCTCCACTTCATTTTTTAGATACAGATTTTCTTCAATAATTGGTTTTAATTTATCATCCATTTTTTTAGTATCGCTTTTGTGATCGAATCTGTTAGAGTCGCTGTTTGTTTATCCATTTCTAGTTTTATTTTCGAAAATAGTAATTGCATTTGCTCATCCATTTCAAATTTATGTATTTGTTTTTAAAATATTAGCAACTCTTCTTTATTTTGGTAGTAATTTGTTTTTAGGTATGGCAGCACTAGTGTAATTTGGTAGTTATATAATTTAATGTGGCAACACTTTGTCTATGGCGAGACGAAACGATGTTCCGTTCTTTGATGTTGGTAGCACTGCTATATGTCAAGACAAGATTATAATTATTGTTTTTGGGTAAGAATAACACAATGTTATTTGCACTTGTTTTGTTCTAGGCAAAACACACACGATTTTTATTGTTTTAATTGCACCTTTAGTCCTTATTTTTCAATTTACTTGCACAGTTTAAAGGTTTATTCGGTTTTCAAAACGTTATTTGTTTATATTTTCGGAGCACACTTTATGATGTTTACACTATTAGACGGCTCAACCGGAAGTCTCAATCTCAATTAAAACTAATATATATGTTTTAAATCTTAACATCACTAACTATTTAAAAAATTAAAAAATGAAGATTTGCGCGATCAAATTATGTAATTTAGGCGACACGGTTGTTTTTAAGTGTTGCAAGGAATACAATCTAAAATTTCCCTAAATTAGTGCCACAGTAATATTTCTTGATCTCAGATCACATTATGTTAATCCTAAATTACAAGACTAACTTTTTTTAAAGGGCCTATTAATTATTTGATAGTAGCAATAAAGAAAGGTTCTTGTCATTTACTTTTTTACTTCCTTAAACAATAATTTTAAATTCTTAAAATAAAAAGGCCGTATTTTCTAAAAAATTGCGTTTTGCGTTTGGGTGATCCTATGTTTTGTTTTATTTAAATTCTTGCACATGTCACAATGTACGATGAAGTCGATTTCAAGTGGATAGAATGGAAAGCCACCAAGTCATAAATTATTTTGAACGTTTTACATATAATAAATGTTTTATAATTAATACTTAATTAATTACTTACTTAAACATTGATTGAATTTGAATCAAGTAAAATGCTAATTAGGTTGCCTTAAGCTCAAGCTCATGTAAAAAATAAACATTTCTAACAGTGTAATAAATAAATAGTCGAATATTATTGGAAATAAAATTCCACATGTATGTAGAAGAATGGTCCTTCCGCATATAAATGGAATTTTGGCCTTAAATTTTCCTACTTTTTGGATATTCTCCATATTTGAATTGGACTCCCTGACTAAGTCAGTTGGCACGAATGTAACTTGATCAAAAAGTTCTTATCTATGATAGTCTAGTAAGACAGTGATTTCACGCACATAATCAGATCAATTTTAGTCTGTTTATAAGGCGACGCGGAATCTAGACATGTATGAGCAAAGGTTTCTTGTTACTAACAGCAGTAAATACTTAAGACACCCAAAGTTAAAAAAAATAGTCAAAACCTTGTTTGCGCGCCTTCGCTGTGGGAAGCTTCGATCCATTTTAAAAAAGCTGTGAATTGTAGATATTTCTGTATTATACTGTTAAATGCAAGATACTTAAACAAGGCGCGATAATTTTGCTTCTATTTTTATTTATACCAAGGCACTATGCTACATCTGTTTCTAAGATTCAAATTCAATGCATATAATATAAAATATGTGAAAGGGTAAGAAACGGGAACGGATCTCTACCAGTAAATACGCTCATGACGAATACCAGCGAAAAATATTGAAGAACCAGCGACATTTCTATATTACTGTGAATGTTGACAAACGAGCTACATTTTGGTTCTTAATCGAGGATAGATATTTATGGTGGAATGTGTGCTCGATTGTCTTAAGTAAGGTTTACTTGCTGTACTTCTTTAAGAAAGAATTCTTTGCTTAAAAAACAATCTTTGAAAATTGAGATGGCTCTAACTTAATTCGTTTTCGAAGTCCGTATTAAGTAAATATTACAGTATTTCATATATATTTACAGAGTGTTACGCCATGTTACAAATTACGTTCTTGCCGGTTTATTTATTCGTAAGTTCGATGCAAAATAAATAAATAAATATCATTTTGTTGCCACTTTTAAAAACATGTTTACATATAAACTAATTATTTAATCTTAATTTAATTTAGGCAAACGGAGGTGACTCAGCTTTTGCTTACATGGAACTAGATCCCATGAAGCGCTGGTTTTCAGGCACTCCTTCTTCCCTGAGATGTTACACGGGTGTTATGAGAATTTCGAGTTCCCCAATCACCTCTTTCATTTACTCATCTCTCATTGGAATTTGGTATGGTTGTGAAATTTCATAATTATTAATTAATAATTCTTGCATTCGTGCGTGTGAGTGCGTGTGTGTGTGTGTGTGTGCTGTGTGTGTGTGTGTGTGTGTGTGTGTGTGTGTGTGTGTGTGTGTGTGTGTGTGTGTGTGTGTGTGTGTGCGCGTGCGTGCGTGCGTGCGTGCGTGTGTGTATGTGTGTGTGTGTGTGTGTGTGTGTGTGTGTGTGTGTGTGTGTGTATATGTATGTGTGTGTGTGTATGTGTGTGTGTGTGTGTGTGTGTGTGTGTGTGTGTGTGTGTGTGTGTGTGTGTGTGTGTGTGTGTGCACGCGCGCGCGTGCGCGTGATTGTTCAGTTTATAATACACGGGGATGTTTTATAAGGGTTATATCATAATGTTAAAAAAAGTCCCTTAAGTTTATGTATTTCCAGTAGGTAATGATTAAGTTTTCTGCAGCAATTTGCCGCTTCAGCATTGCTGATTTATATTTAGCTTTGAAGCTTTCCGTACTCATTTTATTTCTCATAGCAGGGGGCAAATCATTCCATATCCTTGCTGCAACAAATTTGAAACATCCTCTGTACCGCGTTGTTTTATGTTTTGGCATACTTAACATGTTTAACGAGTTCGTACGAAGGCTTCTATGTGAAATGTCTTTGATCCATAGGAGTTTTTCAAATAGGTACTCGGTCTTTTTATTCCATATTACCCTATGCACTGTACAAGCGTACTGAAGCTCCCTTCTAGCACTAACGTTAAGAAAGCACTTTTTATTTAAGTACGGGTTAATAGATTCTCTCTCCTCTCTGTGTTAAACTTGAGTCTTGGACCAAAGGGTGAACTGCAGTAATTAAATTGAGATAGTACCAGAGTATCACATAAAAGTATCCGTAAATCCTCCTTAAGATATGGTCTGATTTTGTAGAGCGTTTTCAACTTAAAAAATGCTGTCCTTATTTTGTTATTAACGTAATCAATAAATTTTTGTTCCCCATCTAAAATCAGGCCGAGATTACGGGCAGAGGTTACTTGTTCCAGAATAACATTATTTATTTTTACTTTTTCTCCAACGTCTAATACATTTTTTATTTGGCGTTTAGTGCCTAAGACCAACATTTGAGATTTGAAATAACTCGATAAAAAATAAATGAATTTATTCTAGCAACATATATTTATTATTTACATTAAACTTTAAAATAAATGTAATTAATCAGGATCATTATTAGCGTGAAATGCGGCAATGTTATAACAACATTTTATTGCACGGCGCGCAGCGTACGGAAGCTTGCGGTTTCACTGCAGAGGGTCGACTTCCGCGTTGAAACAATAACCAACCCATGTGTTGGTGTAGGTATACCAACTGTATCATTGGTAAAACGTAATTTTATATTTTATCGCGTTTAAATTTTAAGTTCTGTGACGTGACGTTAAAAAAAAAATAGAATACCCATGATGATCACGGGGATACAAAATAAAACGCGATAAACCCCGAAAAATTAGTTTTATTTAATATGGTTCGCAAAAATATCATAAATCATTATATGTTTTATTAGATATAATATTATTCTTGGAGTTTATCAAGTTCGAGTGAAAGAGGGTTAAGAGATTATTTTCTATATACATATTATACGCATAATCACTTGAGTATTAATATCTTACCACTGCGATCGAAATTAGCCAGTATAATATCAATATAATCAATATAAAGGTTTTTCACGAGTGCCCCTGTGGTAGCAGCGTCGATGAGTTTGGGCTCCATGGACTTTCATGCAAGAAAAGTGCAGGTAGGTTTTCCCGTCACGGTTCTTTGAACGAAGTCCTCCGAAGAGCTCTTGTCTCCATAAATATCCCCTCGGTTTTAGAGCCTTGCGGGATATTTAGAGACGATGGCAAGAGACCAGACGGTATGACTTTGGTCCCTTGGGAGAGAGATAAAACCCTAGTGTGGGATGCTACTTGCGTTGACACTTTGGCGGCCTCTCATCTCAAGGGTACTTCTTTTAGAGCCGAATTTAGTAAATGGCGCAAATATGAGTCTTTGAGAAATGTCCTAAAGGAACTGTATCCACGGCTGGTCGTCGCTACTGGTGATAAGAGGGCTGGTTCTTTCCTCGGTCAAAGGCTAAGTATAGCTATTCAGCGAAGAAACGCAGCCAGCGTTCTTGGCACTATACCACGGGGAGCAGGACTTTTTGACAATTTAAATTTTTAGTGTTAGTTTTTCTATATTACAGTTTCTTTTTTTATATTGTGTATAATTAATAATAATTGTAAATATTGTAATTATAAGAATTACATATATTTTTAACTAAAAATAATATTATAAAAAAGAAAGTAAAGGTACATACTGTTTGTTATGGAACCAGTCGATATTGTACTTGACGTTGGGGTCGTTCGAGACTTTGCATTGTAAAGTCGCCGTGTGACCCAGCAGCACACGGGTGTCAACTGGCGGCGCAATGATCTGAGTCCTCACTGCCGACAAACATAAAAATTTTGACGACATAGTAAAATAGTTATTACCTTGTGATATTACTTGGTTCGCTCAAAAACGTAAACATGTTTACTATTAATAAAAAGTTAAAACCTAAAAAAAATAGTTTTAGTCATTAAAGCACCAAAAAATAACTTTAATAAGACGACTTTAATGATATACACTGTTCTAACACCGACTTGAAAAGAAATTAAGTGAAAATTATTTAATTCTATTCAAATAACTAAAATTATTCGAAGTCGGTTTTTATTTTTTTTATAAAATTTTTGATTAAACATAGCATAAATACATAGTTACACAACATTCCAACTAAGTCCTTTGAGGTGACAACGCATCTACACTTCGATTCTTCATCGAGGACAAACATAGGTATCTGTGGGTCACAGTATTCACTTACCATCAAATGAACTGTGTTCTCCTTCATTTTTATCAAATAATTGGCTGTGGCAAGTAATCCATCCATCTATTACAGCCTAAAAGTCACTGCTGAGCACAGGTTTCCCACCCATAGAATACTATGATACACAATAGAATGGCTGTCAACCTTATTTTGTACGACGATAGGCGTCGCCGGGAGCACACAAACAAGCAGTTACGTCGTATTATCACTGCTACAAACCCGATTCGCTGTGTTGACAGACAGATTTTATTACATATTTATTTGTAAATAGCGTGATATTTGGCATTTTCTGAATAATTTGCATGCGAAATATGGAAACGATTGTAAAGTCAAAACACATCTCGTGTTTATACGTGTGAATTGAGGTGTTAGTGACATATTAGTGGCTACACGGGCTCCGCCCACTCTCCCGTTCTATTATGTATGTAATTATAGTATTCTATGTTCCCACCCATAGATATTGCCATAGTTGCCACACTTGGCAATAGCAGTTTTTTTTATAATTCATTGTTTTTAAAAATATGCTGCTGCCTATCATCTGTTTCAGTTTCCCTCAGTCGCCTCTCGCGACACCCACGGGACGATATGGGGAAGTGGATAATCTCACATCGCAACTACTCGGTAGGCAAGTAAACGTGAGTAGCAAGTAATATAGGCGTTGGTTATTAATTGGCTATTAATTTTATGTGCAATTTTAATAGATAGGGATGAACGTTTTGATACTGGGAGCAAAGGTATACTATGTGAAAAATATTCCCATGTTTAAAATCTTGTAACGTTTTATGTAACAGGGTTTGCCGTTCTAAAATACTAGATATTAAAAATAGCTAGCTGTTAAACTATTGGATAATATATTGGACTATATTTCTATAGTTTATTTCTAACCGCGCCATTTAATCTAAGGGCAAGTTGTAGATGCCAATAACATAATGGAATTGGATATTTTATAGGCGCTGTTGATTCTTTCAGGTCGGCTAATCTATTTAGAACCATTATAAGCTTGATTATTCTAATATTAAATGTAGACAGCTAATATAAAATATAATTAGCAACACTGTGCATTTTTCTTCCAATATCACCCTCAGTCCTGCTATAGAGGCTAACACTAACAGAAAAATTCCTAATCCGTGGGAAGTAGCATTATTAGCTAATAAGTAAATATGCAACCCAACAAAATGCTCCCATTCACCACCTTCTTAACAGGATAGAACTTTAAATGAAAAGCCTCTAATTTCACATGTTGAATAACAAGCCTTAAAAAGTTACAGCCTATATACGTCTCACAGCTGGACACAGGCCTCCCTTCATTTCTGAGAGGGTTTTCGGGCAAGAAGTGCCCGCCGCGCTGCCCTATGCGTGTTGGCGAACTTCACATGTCTTCGAAATATTTTTTCCTTTTTCCTCAGACATGCAGGTTTCCTCACGATGTTTTCTCTTCATCGCCGAGCACGTGGTAAATCAGCACTTAAAATTGCAATTGACAAATTCTTTGGTGCCGGCGGGGTTCGAACCCGGGTTACTAGCGTTCGCGAATAACAAGCCTTAATTAATATTTATTGTTTAGTGTTAACAAAATCATTGAAGCCAAAAAATTGTCAAACTCACCAAAAGAGTCAAAATCACCAACGTAATTTTTTCAGACCGTGTTTTTGTCACGCTTTTCAATAAAAATTAAGTGTTCGAGGCAAATACTAAGGATTAATGGCATAGGTAAATGAAAACTGTAATACCGAGTACAGTAAGGTAAGCTTCTCCAGAAACATTTCCTGCATCATTCGCGCGGATACAGGTGTACTTCCCGCTGTCGGCAGTAGTTGTACTAGTAATTAGCAGATCTCCTTCATCCAAGGCTTGCAGCCTGCCAGACAGCTTTATTATTAGCGAATCTGAAAATGAGCGATTATTCGTTAAGCAGAAATATACCTAATATTACTACAAAAAAAAAAATATCAAATTAAAAAAAATATTAACCATCATGCAAAATCATATGAACTTTGAGTAACATAAATGAAAAACAATTATTATAATTATACATGTATGCTTAAAATAACAGATTTTTATCAGGCTTGATATAAATCTAATAAGAATAAAAATTACCTACATCGTTTTTCTACATTGGATGCCATAAGAATCAGCGATATAAGTATTGATTGTGTTTGTTATATGATTGATTTGACGACATGACCAAAGGTAAGAAAGTGCGCGAAATGGAGCCTATGAACTATTATATTCATTTTTCCTATTCAACATAGGTATTCCCTTTGGACCTTTAATCATTTATCAGAGGCGTTAATTGACATGTTTATTCTGTCGACAAAAATGATTTATCTTTCTCCTTAAAATAACCAGAAAACGAGCCCTCGACCTCATCGTAAATCACAAACTCTCTCCCGAATCTCTTTTTTAATTTTTTTAAATAAATTTTAATTTATAGGGATTTTTTAAATAATAATAATTTAACTTGTAATAATAATTACTACTTTTTCTAAATCTGTGCTATAGCGAGGATGTTTAAAACTTTCAAAGCCCATTCTTCTTGCATACATTAGGCATTGTAACATACTATGCATTGTGCAAAGACGCGTTGTTGTACACGAGCAGCACGCCTTTGCCCAATTCTCCTCGCTTATTCCCCTCTCACAGCGTACACCTTTCAATTATCCCAACGTAGTATTCTTGTGTTATAGAAATATCTTTTTTTCTTCGTAATCGATCAAAACAATCCCTTATGAAACCAAAAAAACTGTAGTCGTGAGTTTTCCAGCCCACTGGAACACTTTACTTGCGCTTGAAGTGCCCTTTTTGTGCGACTGCATCACAACTTTCTTAGACTCAGACCAGACAGACAATTTTAAACCCAAGTCGTTAGGAAGAACCAGAAACTTATTGGTTCTTGCTACAAAGGTCCAGAAACTCGTCACGATACGCGTCGCTGCTTCCAGTGCGCACATCTTTGAGACGAAAAAAAGGAAAGTAAATATACAAAATTATATTGTTTATTCTATTCAAAGAATTCACTTTTAATTTATTATTTCTTTAATATTAATTACTTTGACCACACTAAGGCAGACTGGTAGAGAAAGTTTTTAGCGTTAAATTCGCCTTTCGTAGGTTTACAAAACATTGACTAACGTTTAATAAGAAAAACACTTTTTTATAAGTCTAAACTATTTGAAAAATCTAATACCTTTGACCTATATAAGTCAATGCTTTGACCACTTTTCTTTAGACACCTCCATAAACCAGAAATATTAAATAAGCGGACAATGCGTCGTTTTTGCTTTAAAGTGAAGACACATTCTTTGTGTGTATATGGGATTTACTTATTAATATAATTGATTTTTTTGTTGAAAATGGTCATTAATGTAGAAAAAGCACTAAGCATGCGGTGTTTACCTATTATTAAATGTGCACTTAGTTTATATTACTGTCTTAGAATTAAGCATATTATGTATTAGTGTAACATTTGTTGGTGAACCAAATTACAAAATAAAAAATAATAATTCGTTTGTTCAGCCCATCAATATCATATACCGCTGAAAATAGGTCATAAATTGCCTTATAGGGGGGATATTTGCATTGGGATAACAACCACAGTTTTTTTTTAAAATATAATTGATAATATGGACCCTGCCTCTCTTACGCTGCAACAACATGGCGAAATATTTTTCAATCGACTTCAAGAAAAGGATTGAGACTTGTGTTACCTCAGAACTTTATTCTAAATGAACCGATTTTGATTATTCTTTTTTTATCTGAAGGCTGATACTTTTCATGACCATATAAATATGATCATGATATGACCAGTAATTTTTGAGTTATCTTTAGTAATGCTTATTATTTATACGTGGTAGAGCCATGCTACAGCTGTATTAGTAGTATAGTTGTAGCACGGATGGGTCGGCTCGACCGGGGAAGGACCACGCTCTCACAGAATACCAGCGTGAAATAGTAGCTTAATGCTGCTGTGTTTCGCATGGTGAGTGTAGAGAACCGGAGACCCTTTTTACTGGAAACGAGGCATTCTCCATCTTAGTCCTCACGGGTGAAAACGCATCTGCATTTTTAGATGTCTATGGGCCACAGCAACCACTTATCATCAGGTGGACTGTGTGCTCGTTTGTCACCATATCCTATAAAAAAAATTAATTTACTTCGACTACATTAATGTTTTCTCATTTTATTTATATTGAAGTCGGTTGTACAAAATTTTTTATTTTACCACTTGCTTTTAATTAGAAAAGTGAATGAATGTGTTCTGGATGACGGGGCGGGTCTGGTACATTTTTGACACCGTTTTTAGTAGAATCGTCGCTTGTCACTCCAAGCTACTAATACTTTTGAATCACAAACTGTCACATCTCGTAGCACCGCGCGTTAACCGACCTTTGATCTTTCACCACCATAGTAACAGCATGACTCGAGTTGCAGAACAATGAGTCAACCATTTATATTTCTGTATGCTTCGTGTTCGATTACGTTTCATTGAAGTTGTAATAATTCATCTTTTATCTCGATCGAGTTTCGACTGCTCTAACATTTCTTGGGTGGCCACAGTTAGAATCAATACTCGATCGTTTCGTCTTCAATACTTTCCCGCCCTCTTTTAAATCTTAAAAATTGTAATCGTTCACAAGCAATCTTCGTGTACTGACTGAATGAGTTTCGACTGCTTGAATATTTCTTGAGTGGCCGCAGTTGGAGTCAAAACTCGATGGTTTCATCTTCAATACTTCCCAGCCCTCTTTTGAATCTTAAGAATTTTGCTCGTTAACAAGCAAAAGTAGTATAACATAAATTTCAAAAGATTCTATAAATAGGTTGCAGAGCTGTAGGTTGATACTACCCTCTTATTTATTTCTATCGTCAAGCAGCAGTGCGCGCTTCGTGTATCTGCTGCTGTGTTGAGGTCTGAAGGTTATTGAGAGCCAGTACAATTGCAGACTGTCAGTCATTCCATCTAAATCCTCGCAAGTGAGAAAGCATCTGTTGCTTTCTTTGTTTGAAGTCGGCTGCATGTGTCTGTGAACTGCAATTATCATAAGGTGGACTGTAACTTCGTTTATCACCTCAACTTTATAATAAAATTCAAAACATTCGTGATGCCCTAAACTTTTTTTATAGATGTATTACTAAGTTCTTGGCGCGAAAACCACATCGACTGAGCTCTATTGCTGCGAGCTATGCTCAGTAGCCAGATTCACACGAGAAAAGCATTTAGCAAATGAAAATAATGAAAATGTTACATTTTTAAATCTATCAGTAAACGGCTAGCTAAAGGCCTTTACGATGATTTATAAAATGTCAGATGCCAGTGTTAAACAAATGAGCCAAGAGTATTTAACATCCTATTGTATGGCGCTTGTTTTGAATTTGTTTTTTTTTTAAACGGATACCATCCAACATTAATTTTCCAATTTATTTCACATTTTTCGCAGTGCTTGCTTCGACAAGCTAATCCGCTCTGTAATTGTCTCGCTTTTTTTGAAGAGGATGTGCCACTTGTTAATCATAGTGTTTCCGATTTCTTTTAAAATAATCTTAAGTTTTTCCGTACTTCGTAAGGAAAAATATTAATAGTGCCACTTCCGATTTTTTGAATTTCCACTAACACCTTCATTCTGTGAGTATACCTCACTTTTCAAACAGTAGTTTAGCAATAACTGTTTAATCGAAACGAGTAATTTTTTACTTTAGGCTGAAAACGTATGCATTAGCGGGAACATGGCACCCAGACAGTTGATTTTGTTCATTAAAAAACGTTAAAATTTTATATTAGCCCTTTCAAAAGAAGCGATTAAAGAAATTAAGAACCGCTGAAACTTTTATTTTTTCGATTGTCTAACAACAATACGTAATCTTAAACTTTCTTATTTAAACCTTTTTATTCATCCAGGAATTAAATTTCACAAAATAAAATTTTATTTTGTAATTAGTGTGTACCGTGCCAAAATAAGTAAAGCGAAACACAGATATATGAGATCGCCTGGGTGTGTTATCTGTTTGTCTGTTATGGATAGGAGGTTAAGTATCGAATTTCCGATTTGGGGGTTAGTTTTCATCTTGTGGGGTGACAATTTAAAAAAGCTCATTCAAACGCCATTTTAAAATTCATTACGTACCAATATTTCAAAATCGCTATCCCTCCCGTTAAATAAAAAAATATCGTTACTCGTACTTGTAACGCCATGATGTCGCCGGATGTCATCAAATCTTGTCGGCTCCTACGATATCCACGTGACGTGACGGCGGTGATGGATTCACTTACGACGTCATCACACGGGGTAATAAACAAAATACATATGGGCATAAATCTAAGTAAAGCTAATAAAACGTAGTTAAAAAGATTTTTACAAGCTGTTATCGCGCCTAGTCAATAATGTAACTTCTCTCTATAAACAGTATAAAATAAGCTATAAAATTTTAAGACTTAAAAACTTTTTAAGCCTAGTGATATTTTAATATTAAGTTGTATTCTAATACGTTTATGTTTGAAGTGCTTACTTTACAGTGCATCGATTGTATATACACAACAAAATTATTTATACTACATTAGTATTTAACTATTTAACAAAAATATAATGTAGTCAACTCTTCAACCTATATACACAGATAACTAAGCGCCATATTAACTTACCGTTGAAGTACCAGGTGACGTTTGGAGTGGGAGCGCCGATAGCTCGGCAGGTGATGGTGGCGTCCTTTCCGTCCAGCACAGTGAGGTTCGATGGGGCGCTCTGCATTACTGGCGGGGACGCTACAAGCCACACATTGCTGTTAACTCGAGCGCTACTCTATGCACTAAAACACTAACGTTTGACACTATCGCCTTACACCTAAATTAGTTTTCAAACGTGATTACAGTGACCTCAAAACACTAAAAATATATGCATGCTCATAAAAAAAACAGAATCATTTTAAAAATAAAAATAATGTGTAAATAATTTTATCTATGACAATAAATACATCGCTCAAATGGATAACTACGACTTTGATTTGCACTTTCATACGTGGTTTTTTATCGATAATAAGTGTTTTGATATATAAATATATCAATGTTAAGTAATTTAAATGTATATAAAATTACAGAACCTTCCAGCAAGCTTAGTAACATTTTATAGAGGTTGATTTCGAAGAATTAGAGATGTGATAAAGGTATATGTTAAATTTAAATGTAATGCTAATCTAACAAAAATAATATTCTAATAAATATCGTAGTTTAATAAAAAAATGGTTAATAAATTATCTAATAAAAATCGTGTACGATTATGTATTTATGTATATACTTATATTTATGTATACTTCAAGTTGTATCTACAAATGTCTGGGAACATAGAGGAAAGAAGGTAAATAGGTTAATTAAATTACGAGTGATACTACTGCAGGGGCTATTGAGACGTATTCAAGCATCAGAATGAATACTCAATCGTAGTTCAATGTGAATTGAGTTAAACAAAATGAGTGAGATTCTTTCACACCTTGTGATACACTCAAATGAGTTTTAATTTCATAGTAGTTAACTTAAAAACCAGAGGGAGATTTCATTTAACATCCGATTCACTAAAAAGATGTTACGGGGTGTATGCATTGAAATTTATATGCTACTATACCTATAAGCTTAAAGCAAAATAAAATTCTCTGCAAATAAAACCGATCTCTTTTTTGTTCTCGTTTCAGCGTCGTAAAAACTCAAATTTGATCAAATATATTCCAAATAAGCTTGGATCAAGTAATTCCAAGCTGAGAAAAGAAATATCGGGAAAGATCGTGAACATGAGTTAGGATTTTTAATTAAATAGATGGAACACTTTTAATAAGTACATTGGAATTCTCAATCAAAAAAGACGGTAAATCGAACAAGTCGTAAACTGAAGAGGGTTTGTTTAGGGGCTCTTAAGTTCCGCAGGTGTCCTTCAAATCTTACCACGTTGCGTTGTAGTTTAGGGGTGAACTAATATTTTTTTCAGTACGTCCCTGGGGTTAAGACGACATATCTTGTAGGCAATGTCAATAATTTTATTTTGACCCTTAATACTAAATAAATACTGTAAAATGAAAAATAACATAGCACAATGGTATAGAATTCTGAATATTAAGTTTCAGCAGAAACATACTAGGATTTTTTAGTGATTTGAGTCGTTTTGAAACTATGGCTGTTTTACAGTTGTATTGAATTATTTACAACAAGAATACATTTGCTGTGGGTTTACTAAATTTGTATTTGGAATTGATATTTTGAAATTGATATTAAAGATAATTTTATCTCTCTGGCACGTATATTAGTCTAAAATTATCTTAAAAGCATATTTATTTATTATCAAAAATTGAACCAGTATTTTGTAAATCAAAATAACACAATGCTTTTTCGTATTAATATCTAATAAAAGTAAAAATTTACTGAATAAAATACAACACTTTTTTTCATTAACTTATATTATTATCATAAAAAAATGATTCAATAAAATTAATCCCTCACCCCCTAGTGTGAAAATATAACACCTGTGTCGTTAAACATGCTAAAAAGCTGAAAAAGTAAAAGTTTGCAATTTAAACTATTACAAAGTTATTAATAAATACTTACTGAGTGTAAATAACGTATTTTGTAAACCAAATTCAAAGCAAAACATAACAATCAACAACATAAAATATATGTGTACGCTAATCACAAAGAAACACAATGAAATTCAAACAATTGTTTTTTCAAAGCATAATTGCAATTATAATGTGCAAAAGTACATCAAATGATTTTCCTTACTGCCGGTATCAAATCGGAATGACTTTGTCTTTTTGTCTGATGTCCTCATTCTAATCAACTTCATGTGACTGCGTGGCGTGCGTATACTGTTCCGCGCTGCGCGAGAGTTGCAAGTAGAAATTAGATAAGTGCGAGTGACTAAACTTTCTCACCAGATAATAAAAACCTATTTTTTGTATATCACATAATATAATATGTTAATGTACTTTCCGAAATATGAATACGAATTACCCTAAATGATGAGATGAATGATTTATCCACAATAATTAGTTAAATCCTCGTAAGCTCCAAAACCTGGTAAGACATGCAGGAAGTCGATGGACGCAGGTGGCTCAGGATCGTGCTTTGTGGCATACATTGGGGGACGCCTATGTTCATCAGTGGACTTGTGAAGGGCTGTAATGTTGATGATGATGATGAAGCTCCAAAACTGTTATTGTAAGCTTTTCATTATTATTTTTTTTATAGGATAGGATGACAAACGAGCACACAGTCCACCTGATGGTAAGTGGTTGCTGCGGCCCATAGACATCTACATCTATCCCCGATTACAAATCAAAATGCAGATGCGTTGTCACCCGTGAGGACTAAGATGGAATGCCTCTTTTCCAGTAAAAAGGGTCTCCGGTTCTCTACACTCACCATACGAAACGCAGCAGCGTTAAGCTACTATTTCACGCTGGTATTATGGTGAATATTGCTTACATATTATATTTTTTAACTTATTATAAGCTAGTACTTGATTACATTTTCATCCGGTGGTGAGTGGTGATAAAGTCCAAGATAGTAAAGCGTAACCTATATGATAACCACCTATGTGGTTGTCATATAGGTTACGCTGTAATTCCATCCAATTACTATTAACTGGATGGATTTACAGTAAATGGAAAATCATTCCATTCCTTTGCTGTACGTATAACGAAAGACGAGGTTCGAAAGCGTAGAATGCGTGTAATGTCGACAATAAAGGGAAGTCGAGCATATATTAGTAAAGGAAAAAGGCTATCTTGAAAAATATCTTATATATTTGAATCCAACAGTCAGCCTCGGAGGGTCATGATTCTGTTTTAATTAATATTTTGTTCCAGTGAACAAAAATGCTCGAGTGATATTGAGAGGTTTTACGGACAGCTGTGCACATCGTTGTTAGAGCGACATGTAAGTGTGAGTAACGATCAAAGAGCATATCAGTTCCGACACTATTTCGATGATATCCTGAAAGTCAGTCTGAGCGAGATTACCGAGGCAAGGGCTCGGGCGAGGATGGAGTCATAGGAGAATTTCTGAAAGCGTTTAGAAATCCGGTGCTTAAATACCTTAAGAAGCTCTATATTCACACCTCTATGATAGCACTCCTTCGTGCTATTTTGGGGAGTCACAAATCGAATCGCACGCTCACTTTACGACTTTCAGCTTCCCGAACAAGTCGGTTTCTAAAAAGACCAGAACACCACATGCATGCATCACATGGAACACATAGGACACACAGAACCTCGAAAAAAGCACACAAAAGCTCGAAAAGAACAATTCTCTACTTTGTACAAGTCGATTGTCGATATATCGAAATACTGAAGTGTTTATAAAGTAGGGCTACAATAGCTATTCGAGTACGAAACCTATTCCAACTACAATGAGGTGTAAGGCAGGGTGACATTATATCTTCGAAACCCTTTACCGCTGCACTGCAAGAAGTTTCAAGCTTCTTTCCTTCCATCCTTTACCACTGTCTGAGGAAGATCAATTGCGCACGAGCCTGGAGAGTCTATTGCATGATGATATGTGCAGTAAAACTTAAACGACATAGCCCGAGTGATCACTGATCAGTAAGTTGAAGTGGCTCGAAAAGATGCAGGAAGACCGCGCTTTGTGGCATTCCTTGGAGGAGTCCTATGTCAGCAGTGGAGTTATGAAGGGCTGTAATAACGATGGATGATGATGATGATGAAACCAAAATTTATTATATTTTGTATATTTAAAAAGTTACGTTAATATTGGCAACGCATCTACATTTTGATTCTTGATCGGGGATACTCGTAGATGTAGATTTCTAAGGGTCACATCATCCGCTTAACACTTGTTAACCTTATTCTATAAAATAAAAACCCTATATATTTTGTAAACAAAATTATCCTAGGAATATTTATAAGTAACTTAATAGAGGTATGATTATTTTACACATACTTACTTTTAATTTTCAACCAAGTGTATATAGAGGACTCGCCAGCTTCGTTACTTGCAATGCATTGATATATTCCCATATCTTCCATTTTCAAATCGCTTATGATAAGCGATCGATCGACTTCCACTCTATACCTGCCTGCTCCGTCATCCACATCGCTATTGTCGGCCTCTCCTGCTCCAGCACCGACGCTCGCAATCTTCTTGGCGTCCTTATACCATGTGATACTAGGTAATGGTATACCTTCCACGTTGCATTCCAATACAATAGTGCTTCCAAATTCACCATAGGTTTCAGATTTAAGATTAGATAACATAGTTGGTTTTTCATATACAGTAACTGTAGCTGACGCCGTTACAGTCGCGAATCCTCCAGTTTTTAATCTAGCCTGACAAGTATACTGTCCCGTATGCGTCAAGTTGGCAGATATAAGACTAAGTGTCCTATTCCATTGGTCGTTCAAATCGTACGTGATTCCAGCTAAATCAATTAGTATACCATCTTTAAACCATAATGTCTCCAATTCATGCAGTGGCCTCGCGTTAGCAATGCAAAAAATATTTCTATACTCCTGACCTTTAATAATTTTTGTATCTTGAGGTTTTATAATTATTTCTGGTGCTATTTCTTTATTATCGTCTCCATAAACATTCAGTTTTATATATGGGCTATTTTCTACTTTTCCTAATTGAGTGTTTATAGCACGAGCTCTGCAGGAAATACATTTTAATAAAATATATACATGCCAAATAACATAGTAAGAACTTAAAAACTGAAACAATTCTTACCTGTAAGACCTTACATCTTCCTTAGATGCACATAAAATCACGAGTTGATGTTTATCAGTGATGGCATATTTTTGATCATATCTTAATACACCATTTTCGCCATTTTCGTCCTGCCATATGACTGAAGGAGGTGGCTCCGACTCTATGTGCGGAAAATTCAAGATGGCAGCCTTGCCCGACTCGACTGTAACTTCTTGTTCAATGTTGTTTTCGAACACCCCCATATCTAAAAAGAAACTTACTGTTACTTCTTTCACATATGACTTCACACAATATTCCAAAGCTTTCATACGGTACTGCATAAGGTTGCATAATATTCTGTCTTTGTCATACTTTCCATCAACATGGTAATATAATAAGTGACAATATAATTTCTCCACCCTCTTATCTATTTTCAGGCAGCAGTACGTGCGGTGCCTCGTTGGTCTAGTGGTTGTAGTAGTGCGACTGCTGATCATGAGGTCCTGGGTTCGAATCCCGGGTCGGGCCAAAAAATTAATTATTGAGTTTTTCCATCAAGAAATTCTTCTTAGTTGCCCGGAGTCAGAAAGTTGGCGGTGTCGCACCCCCATGCCTCGGAAAGCACGTAATGCCGTTGGTCCTGCGCCTGAGCTCTCTCCGGTCGTGTCGGTTTACCGTCCCATCGGGTTATGAAAGTGCAACTGTGCTTGCGCATACGCTTGGGCACTATAATCCTGTCCTGCTCCGATGGCTAGCCTCCGTTGAGGTAGGCCGCCGTGACCAGAATTCGGTCTGGAGGACATTATTACGTGCGCTGCTTTATTCCGGTCTGAAGGGTACAAAGAGCTAGAATAGTTACAGACTGTGAGGCATCACATCGTAGTCCTCAGAAGTGACGACGCATATGTCGTCTTCTTTGTTTGAGGTTGTTTTTAGGTGTCCATGGACTGTAGCAGTCACTTACCCTCAGATGAACTGTAAGTTTCTTTATCAATATATAAAAAATCGAATAGTTACGTTTTACAAAAGGCTGGCCAACGTTATATATTTACAGTTTGTAAGGCATCATGAGTTTGGTGGAAGGTTAAAGTATGTTGAAAATAATTCGTAAGCAAATCCGTCTTTTATTTGTTAAGATTATCATAAAGTACCATTATTAAATCAAAAAGATTACTTTAGCTGTTGACGCCATCTTGTGAAATTACTCATAAAGCCACAGTAGCAGAAAAATTGCACTGAACTCAAAAGACTCGTCTTTTTATGCAACAGTATCGAAAAGGTTAAACGATATATTATGTCATTACAATTACAAAAATTAGGCTAGAAATTTAGTTTAATGTTTGTATAAAGTAAAGATTGCATGTATTGACCTAACTCTCCATTCTAGCCGAGCGAAAAATTTCATGGGTACTTGTCAAACACCTAAATTATATATGACCACAGGGTATAAAGACTGATGTTTGTGATGATAGTGACATGTTTTGTTGCAGGATCAGATTATTCTTTACTAAAAAAAATTTCGATTACTATTAGTTATACTATGTGATTGTTAATCGTTTTTATTTGATATACGGACAACTTAAGGCGCCATCTTATAAGCGGAAGTAATAATTTTTCTTTTATTTCGCTAAGAGTTAGTAATTATTATTTATTATTTTTACGTGTTACTAAATAGTGTCATCAATAAAACTTATAGCAATAATATTACAATAATTAATAAATAACTGTTATACGGTTTAGACTTATGTACTTATGATTGGTTAGTAGACAAATAAGGCATAGATATCGATCATTGTTATTGGTATATTAACGAAGTGGTGGTAGTAGTAAAATACTCCCGTTTTTAGGTTATAATTTCACCTAAAAACGGGAGTATTATGAATATTAAGTAATTATCAAGTGTGTACACACCATTTCAATTTCAGTCACGACAAGAATATTCTTCATTTAGAATACATAATGATATTTTAGGGACATTGGTTATCAGACGAACAATTTTGACACCTTACTTTTTTTTCTAGATCTGGTGAAAGAGAACAGTAATTAGAAGCAAAAGGTTCTCGGTAAATGATGTAAATATAATTAGAGTGGCAGCGCATTTCAGCACATGTAAATTAAATTCTCTAAGTCTTCGGTAAATTCGTTTCATTGCGTATACACTACTATACACAGTGTTACGGCTAAACCGTAGGTGCCACGAAGGAAATAAATAATTAATTATTTAAAGCCGCTTGCCGCCGTTTTCCAGCCTTGTTTCTTAATACGTAAACATAACACATTTATTATTTAAACTTTGCTATTTACAGTTAACTATTAACCTATATAAATAACAATAAATTGCAACATGTATGAATAATCATTATTGTGGACGGCTAAACCGATTTTGGTCAATTTTTTATATGATAGGGTGACAAACGAGCGCACAGTCCACGTGATGGTAAGTGGTTGCTGGGGCCCATATACATCTACATCTATCCTTATATACGACATATAGATTAAGAATCAAAATGCAGATGCGTTGTCACCCGTGAGGAATAAGATGGAATGCCTTGTTTCCAGTTAAAAGGGTCTCCGGTTCTCTACACTCACCAGACGTAGCACAGCAGCATTAGCAGCAAGCTACTATTTTACGCTGGTATTCCGTGAGAGCGTGGTCCTTCCCTGGTCGAGCCGACCCATTCGTGCTACAACTATACTACTACTATAACTACAGCATGGTTCTACCACGTATTAGGTTCATCCACGATCAGGTGGACTGTGTGCTCGTTTGTCACCCTATGTTTAAAAAAAACTGAATGCCTACGTTATAAAAGGAACCCATTGTCCCAATTTAACTATTCTAAGTCCAGCGGCTCGCGCTGTGATTTTTAACACAATATTTTTCGTATTAACTTTGCACCCTCATTTTAAAATCTTAAGGGTGCATTTTTGAAAAAAAAAATACTTACTACTACTTAAAATATTATAATGGATATTTTATTACATTAATTCAAGTATTTTCACCAGTTCTCAAGTTAAAAATACTTAAATTACATTTTCCCCTTACAAATATGAACATCCTCTGGCTCCATAAGGGTTTGTTTTGAAAAATGACAAAATGGGTAATCATTATTTTTTACAGAGTACTTTCAGTAACTTTCGAGTCGATCGCCCTGTAAAATAAAAAGTTTCATACAAACTGTTCAAAATCGCGTCTTAATGGATGCCTACATAATAAAAAGTAGCTACTACCCCAATTTACAAATTCTATGTTTAGCGCTTTGGGCTGAGTGTTGACAGATGAGTCAGTCCCTCAGGACATCCTCTTTTATATTAGAAAATTATCATTGCGAGTGATTGTTAAAAACATGTATACGAGTACATGAATGACGAAGTTCCTGAACTGCAATCAATATTTTACAAACTTTTTAACAGAAAATATAGCAACATTTAATTAAAAGGCCAAATTTAATAATAATCCGAAGTTCCATCGCTCAAATACACAACGCGAATTTATCGAATTTAAAACAATCATTTTGCAATTTCTTAAACTTTATCGTTCTACTAAGTGAGTCAATTATGATGTTAGTGAATTATAATGAACCAAGGGATCTATGCTTTGAAAATTCACTCTCACGAGGATTATGAGAAAGCTTATTTCTCCGGCATTTAAGTAAGTTGGCGTACATGGTAAATGCACAAAGTGTGATTGACAATTTCAGTAGTTCAGACGGTGAAGAACGAACTAGGTTTATTCGCGTAGTATATGAATTTAGGACAAACGCCCAATAACTGAATTACAAGGCTAAAAACGGTTTAAAATTAAAAAGATCGAATTAATAACAATGTTAGGCCCTTATCGTAGTCAAATTTTCAGCCTTGTGCTTTATCGTTATAAGATAGCATTTTAACTGCCGTAGTGGTTATAGGGCAGTAGAGGAACAAAGGCAATAAGTATAGAAAAACAAAAGCAAAAATAGCACCGAAATAAAAAATAGGATGTACCTATTCTCTTCGCTTACGTGCGGATGGCAATATATGAAAAAATTATACGTTAATCTACGAATCTTCTACGATATTTACACTGTTTATAATTATTCTTTAACCTTTAGTTAACAAGAAGTAAAATAAATACATCAATAAAATTCGTGATAATGACGATTCAATATATTATGTCAATGCCTCAAAATAGAAAAAAAAATATTTTACTTTTTATTCAATATAAAAAGAATAAAAATGCAATGTATAATGATTTTAAATTATAGTGTGTATATTGATGTTCTATCATTGTTAGATAATTTGTATAGTTTGGTTTTAATATTGTAATGACTAAGCCGCTTTGGACTGCAGACTCGAATCCCGCAAGGAATATTTAATATTTGTATGGCCTACAAGTAATTTTTTTTTATAGGATAGGGTGACAAACGAGCACACAGTTCACCTGATGGTAAGTGGTTGCTGTGGCCCATAGACATCCACATCTATCCTCGTTTACGAATCAAAATGCAGATGCGTTGTCACCCGTGAGGACTAAGATGGAATGCCTCGTTTCCAGTAAAAAAGGTCTCCGGTTCTCTACACTCACCATACGAAATACAGCAGCATTAAGCTACTATTTCACGCTAGTATTCTGTGAGAGCGTGGTCCCTCCCCGGTCGAGCCGACCCATTCGTGCCACAACTATACTTCTAATATAACTGCAGCATGGCTCTACCACGTATAGATAGAAGTAATAGTACTAAATGCCTCATTCTTATTGGAGAAATTTCTAAAGGCACACTTTTATCAAAAAAAAATTATAACGAAAGGAATATAACAATGTTAAGTAAAATTAAGCGTGCATTACTTACACGCCACGACAATATTGTTCTTTTCACTGAAAATAGCTCCAACGTCATTTTTCGCTATGCATTGGTAGGCGCCCGCGTCTTGACGCTGTGTATTGTGAATTTTGTAGAAGAGTTCTGACGAAAATTCACCCAGTGGAACGCCATTTTTTAACCACCTGTAGATTGGCTGTGGAATACCTATAAAACATGCAATTATTTATAAAAGTTGTATAGGTTAACTAAAGCATAAAGGCATTGAAATATTAATTCCTCACCCACTGCCGAGCACTGTAAAATTTTCGTGGTGCCCTCTCGAACGATGCTGTTTAAGGATGAAGGTTGCATACTAAAACGCGGGGGCTGCATTTGAGCTGAAACCAAAAGAAAAGGAACGATAAATAAATAATTTGTCTACTATAATATACGAAATCCTATTTTAAAAGTGTGTTAGTGGGATTTAGTAAGATTCCTAGAGCATATTTGTTAATTTAGAGTGCAATCTCTATTATCTGTATATAAAAATATGTAAATTGCTGCTCGTTAATCTCGCTAAAACTAAAAAACAGCTCGTCCGATTTTGACAATTACACCACTGATTTTGAAAGGGTCCCTAGATGATTGAGATTTACTTTTAGACTCTGTAGGTGGCGCTGTTGTTGAGATGCAGAAATCACCCGTGCGTGCGAAGCGGGCGCGGAACGCTATAATCATATAAAAGCAGCTAATAGCGTTCCGTACACTACTCCACGTAGGTATACTGTTCTCCTGGTAATAAAAGGGGAAACAATAAAGTACTAGTTGATTACGTCATTAACAGTAGCCTTTTAAAATACAGTGATGAAAATACTCTTACTAGTATTAGAACTTCATTTCAACCTAGAAGTCCCGTCTGGGTGAGTAGCACGCACTCACCTATTCCTGTCGTCGAATACCAGTGCTTGCACAGCTGTGTTCTGACCCGAAGGGTCCTTAGGAGTTTCAAATCACCTGTGTTAAAGTTGGCTGACCTGCAGCCAACTTTAACACAGGTGGGTACATCGAATACATTAGCCATTTACCATCAGGTGGACTATAAGTTACTTTGACACTACATTTTTATAGAAAACAAAACTTTCCAGAATGCTTTAGTTACCAGTATTTCTTTTCAAGACTTCAGGATTTTCCGCTATCCGTCGGCCGTCAGAGCCTTGTCAATCAAATTATAATGTGTGCAGGTAAGGTGGACAATAGGATAAAAATTTGTTTATTTTATCTAAAATCCCATTTGTCAAAATGTCTATTTTGATTTAACGTGTTTTGGCGAACTTCAAATCATATCCTCCTTTTTTCATTTCTTAGATATGCAGGATATTTGAAGATTTTTTCCTCATCTTCGAGAATGAGGTAAATCAGCACTTAAAATTACATTCTTCATTTCTTATTGGTGTCGGCGGAAATCGAACCTTAGTTTGCTCGTGTAGGCGAGAGCTTATTCCCTGTAGTACCGTCTATTGAACTTTAACCCTTATGTACTTTCATAACATGCCAATAAAAGTTTGTTATTGTATATTGTTAATAATCAGTAATTAATTAATCTAGCACATATGAGACAAGACCGCTTGAAACATTTAAACGGACCTTTATGACCACACTGACCAATATATAAAAAAAGGATTGTAGGCCTCCTCTTTTCTAAATGTCAGCTGTCAACAACAATACTAGCATTCCGCGCCCCGGCCTTGCACGAGTGATTACTCGATCTTGACAACAGCGCCACCTACCGGGCCCAAAATGTCAATCAAAAAAAGCCATCTAGAAATCCATTCAAGAACACACAAAAATTTTCATCAAAATCTGTTAAACCGTTTTTGAGTTTGAGTGAGATTAGCGGACCGCAATTCATTTTTAGATACAGAGATTATTTTATATCATTCCAGTCTATAATCATTTAAGTAAAGCTTAGCACTGCTATAATATCTACATCTGTGTGCGTAAATAGTGCTTTTAAGAACTTTTTCGATTTGCAAAACCTACATGAAATGCTGCCAACGTGTTCTGTGTTGAAGTTTTCGACGGAGTTGCTCGGCGCTTTCAACATGAAGTTTACAAAAAGTTTACAAGCAATGTGTGTGAATGTGCGATTCGCGTCAGTAAATCAATAAGTTAACTAAAGAAGTTTTCGAATTTATATAAAGACAAACAAAAGCTTAGCTTAGTATTTGGATCAATAGCTATAGTTTTAATCACATAATAATGTGGGTAGAGTTTTTCTCAATGTTTATACCTTTCCTGTGGTTACATCTTAAACATATTCTATCTGCTTAGGACTAAGTTTTTTGAAATTAGTACTTGCACAATTCTTGTTACTTTTTGAGCTTAATCTACTCATTTTTTAATATCCAATATAGGAATGAAATTATTTAAAAAAAAGCAATCAAGTCCAGTCACACGAAGTACCGATTCATCATAGGAAGCAGAAAGGGCAAAAACGAAAGTAAAATAAGAGTACGAAACTTTATTTTATTGCACAGTTAGCAACCCTAAGATATGTATTTTGTTACTATGACAATATTATTAACTCTTTCCAATTACATCATAATTTCACAATAAAAATATTCAAAGACTTAAAGAACAGCATTTTGGAATGCGTTTTTATGAGTCATTACATGCTTTGGCTTTGGATACAAAAAACGGCGTCAATTAGGAACCACGTCATTTCATTCGGGTCAAGCAGTGTAGATACTTAGGCGTGGTTCATATCTCGACCATATTTATCATCAGATCACTTTGCTTACGATGATAGTACAAGAGCCCCTAGTTTTATGAACAGCATCTTTAATGTAAGTTTTAAATTAAGCACTTTCGAAAACAACTCCACTACCACTAAAAGCTTTTACAAGCCATATAGTGTGTAAATTGTTGATGCACAAAGTGAATTCTTGACTAAATATAATATTTTATTAAAGTTTATCTATCTAAAGTACATTTATATATAAGAAAATATTTTGAACTTATAAATATGTATGTACTATTTTTATATGAACAAAGTAGTGTTTTCAACTAAAACGAGCAAAACTTCACACACAGTCAATGTCATGTTGGATTTTTTCTACTAGTAATAATTAAAAAATGATCACAGAAACAAGTGCGACAACTTGAGTTCGGATGGATTCACAAAAAAAGGTTATTAAAGCGCGGTATTTTAATTTTTTTTTTAATTTCCGGGAGACATATTGCTGTCTACGATGCTTATCACTAGGAGAATAATTGAAAATCTATTGATTGTTTGGTGACCTTGTTTATTTATTTGTTTTTATGGTACATAAAAATAAATAAATAAACAAGGTCACCAAAAACGTTTTATGCACGCTGAGGTAGCAGTGGCTGCGTTTCAAAATGCCGTTGAAGAGACCCCTAAGAACGAGTGGGTAAAGTGCTTTTATCAGTGGTTCCATCGGATGCAGCGATGTATTCTTCGATCAACAATAGCAACTAGATAACGGGTCACGTACAAAATCATAGCTAAATACTGTCCGCATGAATATAAACTATGAAAAGACATAAATTAAATAACATTTAGTGTGAAATCAATCTTAAGTTATAACAAATAAAGTTCTTTTTCCCGTTATTGCCTTGCGAGCTACACTCTCACGTGCAAGAGCTCACGTCTCATGTGCGCTCTTATTTACGTAGATGGATTTCTTGCGCCGACCCGACATCTAGTTGATATTGTTGATCGAAGGATGTATTGATGTAATTGGACAGTGTTTTGAAAAGATATAATAAAACTAATAACTTGCTAGTTTGTTCAGTTTTTGATTTTCTAAGAACTTTTAGTGTCACCCTCGTATATGTAAGTAATATATACTTATGCATGCACTTCTTGCATATGCAAGTCTTATTACCGTGTTCTTATATATACACATATCATAGATGTAGATTACATTGGTAAAATATAATATCGATAAAATTAATAAGCAAAACTGTACTAATGGGACTAATACTACACATCAGCTTTAATAATTTCAGGAAAAAATTTAAACTAAGTTATATAGTTAGTTATCGGGAGGTGAATAGTTAAGTTTTCCGTTATAATAAGAGCGTTATAATTTATAGGAGATATCTCAAAAACGTGCTCTTGTGTACCGTATTGATGGCTATGATCGTCTACAGTTTAACCCTTAAGTTCCTGCCCGAGGTCACCGTGACTCCGCCGAATATTTGAATTTGATTTTTTCCGTTCAACGGCTACGCGCGTTGGCGTGCGTCTATGTACCTTTTCTACCCGTCGGTTAGTGTCACGAATGCTCTTAGCTTGGGTGAGTAAAAAAATTTCGTGAGCGGTCATGGTGACCGCGCGTAGGAAGTTACGTGATTATTTTGTATTACGTATATTTGTTTTGTTTTAGTGTCACATTGAATAAAAACGACGAAAATATAACAAAAAGGTTGGAAGAAGAGATGTCGGATGAAGAGGAGACCCGTGACGAAGATTGCAGCGATGTGGACTCCGTTTGTTCTGACAATCTCGTGCCTACAGAAGACTGCGAGTCGGATGACTGTGTGGGTATTTCATCTTCAGAGTAAATCGACGAAGATCATTCTACTGGTGAGAATAGATTTGTGTTTTCACAGCGTGTAAGAGTACCAGTTACTCAAGATGATAACTTTTCCTCGGATGACAGCGGAACAAAAACGTTGTCAATATCTACGCAAGCAGTTTTACGACTTATCCTCCAGTGGAAGGCTCAAACAGAAATATTACTGCCGGCAATTGGTTTTATTCTATAGATCTTTTAAACCTTCTGAAGGATAAAAAATTTAATCTGGTGGGCACTCTAAAAAACGGGAAATACCGCCAGAATTCTTACCAAGGCGGCAAAGACAAGTTGAATCATCGGTTTTTGGTTTCACAAACGATATAATTCTCACATCTTTTGTACTGAAGAAAAACAAAGCCGTGGTTACGATTTCTAGTATGCACAATACGGCTAGCGTAGATGAAAATACCAAGAAGCCAGAAGTTATTATGCATTATAACCAAACTAAAATTGGCGTCGATTTATTGGATCAAAGGTGATCAAATTATTCAACGGCACGACGAACGCAAAGATGGCCCTTGGTAATTTTGTTATCGGCTGCTGGATGTATCTGCTTCAAATGCTTACGTCATAAATTCACACAATCAAACACAGAGAACCGGAAGCAGATTCAAATTTATGAATCAGCTAGCACGAGAGCTGACAACACCACACATGCGACGGCGAGAGGGTTATGAAAACACTCCTCGGGACATAAAATGCAACACGCCGCATTTTGAAAATTGAAGATGAAATGCCCAGCTGTTCAGATGCAGATAAACTAGAAAAACGTAAAACAACTTGCGATCCCA